CATCACAGGAGTTTAATCGTCTGCATCCGCGCCATTCCACGGATCTGGCATGACTGGTCAACGTCTACAATTGAACAGCTCATTCTTAGAGTCCAACAAAACGTCAAGTAATGCAAAAGTACCGCGCAGACATGCTGTGGTTCACAGGAAACAATTTCTTTAGCCGAGGCAGAACAGGAGACGTTCCCATGACAGGAGTAGCATTTGAGGCCGTGGGAGTTCTTCATATTAACATACAAGTTGGAGCTGCATTTTAGCTTCGAGTCATCATCTGAAAATGAACTTTAATAGCGAGTTTCGCAAAGTGCGGTTCACCTTAGCAACTTAACTAAAATATAGAATCAACAAATCAACGTATCGCTTCCCTACTATACAAGAGATAAGTTATTACTTATTGCATATTGGTGAGTTCCTTCCTCAACTAGCCAGAGTAAACTGAATGAAGTGTTCTGTACGACCGCTGGTACAAATGTGACGCACTGCCGGTCACGGAGGCTCATTTCTCAGGGAATAATACGAGTAGCTATTTTCGTCCTCAGCAACAGCAAATGTGTCGTTGAAAATCGTTTAGTCTTGGCGGTTAAATTCTAGGATCGTTTCTATTGAATATATTTTAGAGAAGATACTGATTTATCGTGACCCTGAATGTCCCTGTACCCCCCCCCCACGCCCTGAAAAATGTGTTGAGGGACAGCACTAAATACGCTTTCCATTACTGTTCATAGTCAGTTGCCAGAGTTTAACCGCATCATGATGACCCATGGGGTTAGCGCTCAGGACAGGGGTACCAGGCGTCAAGGAATCGGTACTGAAAACTGCAGCGCCAGATATCTGCTAAGGTTTTGTGCGACGGATGTATACGATACAGCTGAATCACTTGCGGGAAACGGTTGCTTTATAAAGACCGATCCACCAGCGTGATATGACTCTTTCTGAAGACCTAAACATCAAGGTGGAAGAGCGTCATAATCATCTACAAATAGCGCAGCTGGCTACGCGTGGTCCGTCGCAGGCGTGGCATCTGCACTGAGTCAGATAACTACGAAAGGGTAGTCGAATGTAGGTTAAGAGTTACTGCGTCGCGTATACCTTGTCTCGTTGAAGCACACAACTTTCTAAATATTCGCAGACCTACATATGACAAACGGGTCCGGCCGGCCTACCAAAAGAACGAAGGGCCACAATTTTGGAGTCACGAAGAGGCAACGCTGCTAAATTAAAAATCCCTTCAAATAATGCATCATTTCTTCAGCGGGATGTGCAGCTTGGATCAGGAAGAAGGTAAGCAAACTGTCATGGATTACGAAAAACGCTGAAGCTATTGATATTAAACTATTACAATACAAAGAAGCTGCTAAGAAGGAATGCTACCACATCAAGATCCTCTAAGGCAGTCCGCATCCGTCTCGCTTATGCAATCAGCCTGAGCAACAGGTCTGCGAGGGAATTTAAGCTGGAGGAGAAAATGAGAAAGATTTATGGGCAGCCAGGAACGGCTACAGGAGGACAGTGCTGCAAATAGTTGGGCAGTTGTCCAGAAAGCAAAGAAATCAATCTTCCCTGTTCCATGACGATAAAGGTATGTGATTGTCAAATCAGAAGACAGCGCCTCAACGGACGACTAGTGCACCTTCAGGAGATCTGCAACATTTGTTATCCAGGTGTAGCCTTTCCAACCGCAAATTCTCTTCCAGCATAAGAGACTCACTCACAAAACTAATGGGCAAAGCAGATCTACACAGAAAACTAAACATCCAAAAGGCCTAGTTCTACATCAAGTAGAAGAAAATGTTGAGCAGATCTCTCGTACGTTGATTAAATGTGAGCGATCTGTAATCAGAAATAACTCTATGCAGACCTCAGCACGTATACAAGGAAATATGAGGAATAATTGTCCTAATTCTTAGAGGAAGAATGACGAGAATGTTCCAGATTTCGAGGAATCGTATCACTTGAATTATTGAGAAACCTTAATATTATGTCATATTTTTGGAGAAACACTTCTGCTGGACTATTATGGAAAGGCTGAGGAAAGTAGTCAGCTGGAGACTGAAAAAAATCAGCCATTCTTCCAGATGGAAGAGTACGGTTTTGAATAAATTTTCACTCTTAGAGTCATCCAGCAATATCTACGATTGGAGCTGACCAGATTTTGTTAGTCCTGGTAACTTTGCTGCATTTGATTCGACATATCTACAATGACATGATGCAACCATGCCATATGCCGTGAAGTCTGGTCTTACAAAATCATTCAATATTTGACGCACTCAGACATATGAATAGTTCCTGACGTTTGTGCATTGACATAAAAGGTGTACCAGAAAATGCCACAGAAACTCGTCATAAAGGCGATGTGATTCTGGCGGACAAAATGAAGCGAAATTCATCTGGCACCGCAGACGCCATGAATCCCTGACCTACGTAAGTAAATGCTCAATCACCTTAGGCAACTAGGATCAAGCGATGGTATGATACGTCATAAAATCTGGTTTTAGAGAAGTCGTTTTTTATTTCCGTACAGCGAGTAAAAAATCTTAAAATCCTATTAGGTACCAAGTTTCTATTTTGAAGGGAATGTATGCATGATCCGTGTCTACCGATAAATTCGAATGAGAATTATCTGAATGACTCATTGTTAGCTGTAGAGTTGGTCAGGGAGATATGCTTCATCCCTTGTATTATAATGTTCTCGACTAATTCATATGAAAGTGGGCTGGCACCAGCGAATAGGAAGGTCTCATTCTAAATGGAAGAGGCAATTCAAGGTATTCGAAGATGTCTGATTGATCTGAAGAACACAAATCATAGGTTTCCTCATCTGACGATTTCAGAATGCAGCACATCTGAGGAGGCATGCCTCTGACAGTTACGAGGAACGCATTGGACATGACTAGCGCATTTTTAGAATAGAGAGAAGAAGCAATCGATCAACTTAATTTTCTTGGATCTGTCATCTCTAGCGACGGCACTGTCCAATCAGAGTTAAAAAGAAGGGTTGTCATCACCTTTAGTGCTTTTGGTAATTTGCTCAGTATTTGATCTGAGAACTGAATAGCCCATTCCACAGAAATCCACCTGTACCCTACCTCATTGAGGTCACTGCTGAAGCATGGCATAAAGAAAGTTGTTCTAAAGAAAGACCGACTTCGACGGTGAAACTGCGCACAGCACCGTTGGCTTAAACGCATAGTGTTAGCTTAAATGGCCCGATCGCGTGAGAAATGACTTTCTTATCCGCTGAGCAAATTTGACCTCAGTAGATGTTGGGATTAAGAAATTAAGAAAACGAGATTGGTCCTGTTAGACATTCCTGTTGTGCAGAAAACGTTTACAACAGTCCGTTAATTTTTCAAGTGACAATCGACACAAACAGGCGTGGGCTAGTAGACCATCCTGCACAGGGATGAATAAATTTCAGGATGATCTTATTGTGGACATTAATTGTTCCTTCTACGATACTGTAACCGATACCTTACAGGTAATGCGTTGAAAAATCCGTATACGGTGGATTTCGCCCCCCCCCAAGGCCCGACACGGAAGCACGCATATTACGTTCATGAATCACCTGCAGTATGAACTTAATCCAGAGTAAATTTGCGACTGTCACAGCTACATATTGAGGATTAATGTTAGGCCCATGCAAAGGCTTGCCTCATTCTCTTTAGGCCATAGATCTTCTGAATGGAACCGGAGACTGTGATACTGTTGTTTGATCATTACCCTGGTCTGAAATGTTCTTATATCAGTTATAATGATAGGAACAATCCTGCTTCTGGAGAGGAATCATCATTTCTATGATGCAATAACTACCAAAGAGTACAATGCAGAAAAGCCGGGAATGCAGTTCAGAAATTTTCTGCTACTGTAATCGTTTTGCAACTGTATTCGAAAAGCAACAGACTTTTCGGAAATGAAATAATAATCAGTGCTGGTATAAGCATCCTCAGATGTACTTTCGAAAAACCGAAGAGTCTAGTCCATAAAGGAGAATTATTAATGAGAATTAAAGCGTTTAATATTAAAACTTTGTTTAGTCAAAGTGTATGGATACGAGGCAGAGCCTTTTGCCTTCTCACTAATATCGGTAGGTAATGCAAAAACTGTTTTGTACTTGCCTTTTGCATCAGATCTACTGGCATTTGATTGCTTGCAGCTGCCGCTTTTTCCAATCGACGTCTGATACAGTTTAGTAATAAAGGTTTATTTTTGTGGAAAGAGAAAGAACTGGATGGCAAAATATTGTTAGCAGAGTCAAAGTATTCATAAACAGAGCCGAAACTGGTTGTTAGAAGGATGACGAAAACAATTCTACTCTACAAGAAAACTAATATTGAAGAGATACAGCTGATTACTTGAAGTCCTAACAATCGACCTCTGTTCCTTATGCGGAAGATTAATTCCACGGCCTTCATGCTTCTCATGGAATAGCTCTGCTTATAGACTTTACTGTAGAAATTACCGATGTTTCAAGACACACCTGGTTGGCTGTTAAACGCATTTGATTAAAGTCCAATCGTCGAGGTCAAATTCTGGACCAGTTAGTGTCTACAGGGATTCATGTTGACATCTTTGCAATATAAGCTAAAGTTTAAACGTTTTTAGGTGCATGCCTTTGTTCCCGTACACACATCTGTTGGCGTGGATGAGCACGGCTACTGCGACATTTCTAAATTAAATATTTCCTTGATACAAATTGCAGTGGTGCGCTGTCACTCTGTTTCATGCTTTGTAGTAATTTGTGTGCAAAATGCCATACTTTCATCATTGTCGTACTGTAATTCCTAGTTAATAGCCTCTTCGCGTTTCCTGCGTGTCAGGTAACATCGATGGGCAGTCTGTCGTTTAACTTAACTTAATTAGCTTATGGAAAAAGTCAATTTGAAATTCGCAGCACAATCTACTGCGTCCGATAATGGAATAAGTTGGCTTGCGTTTGAAGTGAAGTGCGTTCATCGCTACGCTTGGAGGCGGTCCATAAACAGCGATCATCCGAGGACTAGTCACTCACCAACCGCTGGAGCGAGGCACACACGCCGGGACTCAGATTTACCGTTGTGCGAGGTCTTTCGAAACGCCTTTGTCTGGAGATCGATCGTTTCGTAAGAGACGTTAAAGCCGCCGTGTGGTGCGTCTCCCCACGGGTTCGTGCGTAACTCGATCAGCAGCCAGTTGCTCTGGGTGGTGTGCCATCTGCCGACCACGGCACGGGCGTCATCGGGAAAGCACGAGAGCCTATCGGTAGTCTAATTACGCCCAGAAAGCTATTACGTCTTAGAAAGCGTTTACGATTTCGTCAGCACATCTGTGCCATGAGGCCACACGTAAAATGTGTCCATACAGCGATCCGAGCGAATGACCGTTTCGTACTCGAGGTCTAATGAATTGATGACGAAGCGCACCCGCTCAGACCGGCTCTTGCCCTGCACCAGCCACTGGCAAAACGCGCCCCTCGGATATTGCTCCGGATAACCAGGCGACACTATGTATCCGGCGCTTCCGTTCATCACGCCACATCCGTCAACTGCAAAACCCACAACTCACATGCAAAATTGCTCGTGCATTAACATTGCAAACCGTTGTAGCGGTTAGCCATTTGAAGCTTGTCGCAGAACCTTCCTGAGAAACCGTACTGGCACACACAGTGGGTGCAGTCTCTCGTCGGATAGCTGCCATGCATGCATGGCAAATCCCTCGAGCATCGATCTATAAATAACGTCGTTTTAAAATCAGCATTAAACATGATTCCAATAACTGAGTGCATGGGAATTCAATTCTACTGCTCTAACGGAAAATATATATTAATGAGCAAGTGTCGACATCCATCTCCAAAGCAGATTTTGCTCTGCCATAAACTATGTAACAGTCATACCTGTGCATAGGAAAATGCGATTCAGTGTTGAAACATCCCTGCTACTCAGTGGTCGGTCACTGCTGCGGATTTCCGGGCCAATCGAATACTGCATGATCGGATTGACCGCTGAGATGACGGCGTACTGTGCCGAAAATGCATTTTCCTGAAACAGCCAGCGAATGTAAGTGAAGTCGACCAACCACGCCGATCACCTTGCTTCCAAAGTGCATCACCGAGCTTATGTCGTACGGCGTAACGACCTCGAATTCGTCCAGGAAGAGAGCGGATTTGTACAATGGCCTATCGCTCTGCTTAACGTTCGTTAAGTTCACTTTGATGAAGTCGCTGTTATCGAATCTCTGGTGTTCATAGCCGATTCCAAAAGTTTGCATGATCAGCCGAAGGCAAGAAACTACCTAAATTCACACTATCTATATTTCACTGCATCGTCATCTTTCAAAAAATTTTGGCAAACAGTCAGTCACGTGTCTGGAATGTGATGACTTTCTGCTCCATTCACTATTCTGATATTTCTAAATCACTAAAAGTCAAGTTGACTTTGCCTTAATGTATTATTTGAGATCGACACTTTATTCATTACATGACCACGGTGTCTAGATTTTTGCCCCGTTCTGTTGGCTTGTCTTCCCCCTTCAGTAAAATTCAGAACAATTTTATTACGCTCCATGTTACAAGGCTTTCAGTACATGTGATTTCGCAATCGTCCTACTTTGACAACCCAAAACTACGACGTATCAAACATTTAAGAAGCTACAGCTTATCCTGAACTCGCTATTGATTCAGAACCAATATTTGAAATATGAAGTCCTAAAGACAGAAGGTCTCTCGGGACGATGGTCATAAATATAAAGATATACGGACAAAACTTCGTTTCTGTCAAGCCGACGTTCCAGAATTCAGCACCATGACAAAAACAAAAAATTGCAGGTTTAGACACTTCATCTTGATTAGGGAAGACAATGAGGAGTCCTTAGATAACTCCATATTTGTGCTATATGCATATACTGAAAAGAGTGTCCAACAGCAAGTTTGATTGGGCGATAAGTCTGTTAAAGTTTGACACAGATATTTCAAGTTGACCTCAGTGAGGCAAGAAAACTCACAGAAACGATAGGGCAAAAGCTACCATGGATTGCTTTTAGTATGAATAAAGATAGTGAAAGGGAAGCCCATCGATCCTTTTGACTTCGCTGCTTTCAAATAGAAGGCATAAAAAAAGCTACCAAAGGATAATTGACTTGCAGCATACAAGAGTCCATTGGAATGCTGCTTCTTGATCCTTGGACGTTGGAATTTCCATTTTCATTATCATTTTGAAGCAGAATTCCTCAAATGTTGCATTTTTCACTCACTCGAGGGGAACTCGAGCTGGGTTTAGACCGTCGTTAGACTTAACTTTATTCTACGGATGAATTATTAAATAATATGCAAGTAATCATTTAAATAATCACGCTTTGTGCAACACGAACTGCTAGTTCTGATAATCCATCTGCATATTTAGTTGAAAATCCAATGATGCGAATCTGTCAACAGTTGCATCATGGCTGAGCGCTTCTATATCACATCTGGTTTAAACCGAAAACGAAATCAAGTTGCTGGTATCCATCATAGTCCACTTTTTCAAGAAGTGCAAATTTGTAAAATATTCGAAGATCTGGGTCGACAGTTACGATATATTTAGCGAGTGAATCGTTTGTGAGATACTTACTCCAGAAAGGA